GAGATGGAGCAACGGAGGGGGGGGGGGGGGGGGGGGGGGGGGGGGGGGGGGGGGGGGGGGGGGGGGGGGGGGGGGGGGGGGGGGGGGGGGGGGGGGGGGGGGGGGGAGAGAGACAGAGAGAGAGGGAGAGAGATCAAAACCAATCTCCCAAAGAGAGCCACACGTACCTTGGGGAAGTTGAGCTGCGTGGACCAGCGCGATGAGATCAGGATCAACAGCGACACCAGGATGACCATCAGCACGAAGGAGAGGTCCAATCGCGGCGAGGTGGTCAGGGCCGTGGTGACCGAAATGCTGAATGCCTGGATGGTGGAGTCATCCGCGTTGCCGGGATCATTGAAGTAGTCCGGTGTGGGCCGGATCAAGCCCTCCAGGCGCCGATAGGTGTCTGGGGCACGGACGGGGGGTTGGTCTTCGACAGCCGGAGGGGAGCAAATGGATGGCAGAAGGGGGAAGGGGGAAAAGGGGTGGAGGTGCGCGGCGCACCCTTGTCGACGAAGGACACCGGGGGCCAGAGATGGCCATCCGGGGTGCCATACTCGGCCAATTGCAGGGTGTGGTTGTAGACCAGAACCACGGCAGCCGGGGCGAAGCTTCGGATGTTCTTCAGCTGCTGGTCGGCCGAGCAGGCCAGCGACGCATTTTGGTGAGACAGGACGATGGCCCCGGTCAGGGCATCCTTGTTCTTGGGGATGCCCCCCTTGCACAAGTCCTCGATGTCGGGCGAAACTTTCCCCAGGACCGAGGGGCCGGGGAAGGACGGGCAAACGGCCAAGTCAGACCCCACATCGAGCCAAGCACATGGGCCATGGGAGGAACGCACCGAGCGGCGCGCGTAGCGGCGTGTCCGGCAGCGGGTACGGGATGCGCGATCGGCCGTCGGGAGCGACGGCAGTCCAACAGGATTGCGAAAGCCCCTGCGAAGGAACCTTGATAAAGCCGAGATCTGGGGCACCACAGGGGCAAGGGGGCAGGGGGGGGGGGGGGGGGGGGGGGGGGGGGGGGAAGGGGGGAGGGGGGGAGAGAGGAGAGGACAACGGAGGGGGGGGAGGGGGTTGTGGACGACGGTGAGTGCGGGGCATGGCCCGGCATGCGCATGCAGGTGGGGGTGTCGGCGTGCGCACCGGAATTGACGCGCCGGGGACTGAAGGCGCCCCAGAACATGATGCTAATCCCGGCAATCAGGGTGATGAGCGTGGCCAAGCGGAAGATCAGCGGCTCGCGACGGATGCTACGGGTAGTCGGCCGGTGGTAGCCCTCCGAGCCGCCCCTGAAGAGTCCGAAGCATTTTTCCAGCATGGCTCTCAAAAGGAGAGACGGGGAAACAGGGGGAGCGAGAGAGAGAGAGAGAGAGAGAGAAGGGGGCGGAGACGGAGACGGAGGGGAAGGGACGGAAGGAAAGGCACCCAGCTGCTCGAGGGAGAACCAGCAGGAGGCAGAGAAGAGGTAGCGGGGGGCCAGAAGCGAGGAGGAGGGGCAGAGGGAGGGGCTTGGCGTGCGTCGTCCAGTTTCGCGCGCGATGGGTGCTCGAAAGTCGCCGGCGCCCGCCCAGAACGGCCGTGAATCTCGATCGCTCTCGTGACAGAGGCGCCGGCTTCCCAGCGCCCCTCTGCCCTTGGGGAAGCTCCCTTCACCCCGGGAGAGAGCAGAGGAACTTGCGGGGGGGGGGGGGGGGGTGAGCCAGCGGTAATTCCCCGGGCCGAAGATGACCCACCGCCCAGTGGAGCGAGGAGACCAACGGAACTGTCCCCCCCCCCCTTCCCCCGGGTGAAAAGCGACCGGCCACGATCGGGGAAGAGCCGGTGGCGGCCCCCCCCCCCCCCCGCTGGCCGCGGAAGATGTCATCTTCCTCACTCCGGAGCATGGACCCTGGGGACTCGGCAGGCGCAGGGAACACGCAGACGCGCCCGCATGCCACCCCCGGACGCCTGCGTCGGCGCCCCTTTTCTCAAACGGGACACTCACCCGCGCAGCATCATCGGCCGTGGAGCAATCACACAAACACTCAGGGGGGGCACCCTGGACCCGGAGAAACAGGGCTTCGCTGAGCCTGCCGAGACACGGGCAATGGAGGAGAGCCGGTATGTAATTGGGCGCCGTCTCTCGCTTGCCGATTCCCCCCCCCTTCCAGCCGAAGCGCCGGCCAGGATGAGTGTGGAAGATCTCTCGGCGGCCGAGGGGAAGATCACGATCCGGACGCTCGCCCGTGACTCTGAAGAGGAAGAGGACGTGGTCTGATCTCGAGTGATCTGACTCATTGGACATGATCCCGTGAGGCATATGGAGGTGTAGCAGGGTTCACACGGGTTAAGCCTAAGTCAAGTGAGTGAGGCTTGACGAAGGGTACCAGTGTGATCTGCCACCTGGTTAGTAACCTCTTGGCATGAAGGAAGGGACATACCAACCAGCGGTTCACGGTCGTCTGTTACCAGATGAGTCAGTAACTCGGCTTGAGACGAGTTAGTGGCAAGCGAAAATAGAAAGGAACTCGGATGTTAAAAAGGGTTCGAGAGGAAGCCTTAGAACAGGTGTTCGTCGGCCTAACTGGTGCTTCGGCTATACTTCCGTATACTCTTCGACACACAGCTGCTAAGGCTTTCGCTCTCAGGAGGCTCTCAACGAGAGTCCCCCTTTTTGACCTTTGGGCTCGGTCAGGGGTTGGAACTGAGAACCCCGCGGCTGGGCCCGCCCACCCGCGTATCTCCGTCCTCGGTCGAGCGTTTATGCCGCTCGGCCTCGGCGGCCACCTGGCTGTTGTTCTACCCCGCATTCCTCTCCGAGGAATGCTGTTCTGGGATGCTATCATTCCCACGATGTAACACGTGTGGCAATT